ACCCCTCCAAACCTTTCCTATTCATGTATCCATCCAAATGTCTATTACAGTATATCATGCACCCCCATCCACCACTTCCTCAGGTTCATAATACACACAAACCACTCTCCATTTTAAAAAAAAATTGCCTCGTCATTTTTAAATTTTTCTCCTCTCACCTTAAAAATGCACTCCTTAATCTTGAAATTCCCCATTTTAGGGAAAAGACAACTACCATCAACTCTATCTATACCTCTCATCATTTTATAAACCTCTTTAAGGTCACCTCTCAACCTCCTACACTCCAGTGAAAAATGTTCCAGCCTATCCAGCCTCTCCTTATAACTCAAACCTTCCATACCCAGCAACATCGTGGTAAATCTCTTCTGAACCCTCCCCAGCTTAATATCCTTCTTATAACTGGGTGACCAGAACTCTTAGTAACAATGTCTAACTTACTGATGTAACTTGTACCTGATTGCTATCATGCACTGGACTACATCTTGTTAAAGACAACAGCCTTTTCATTAACTCACTAGTGGTTTTTCTCTACCATTGTAAACCTTAAACCCAGTTCAAGAATGAGGACATTGACAAACAAGTCGCAATAGAAACAGCAGCATTGTTTATGAGAGGGCGGTGTTGGTTTTAGGAAGTAACAGACAGAGGATGGGGTAGCGTTATAGGGGTTTCAGTATAAGAGGTGGATGACAAGATTGTCTGATTCAAAAATAATATTAGAATGGTGACTTCCTCTTCCTCTATCAAACTCTTCACAGACATTGTAGAAATATTATGGGTGGCTGTCTCATTTGGATCGATCTTAAAGCTCGACTGAGCTTAGAATGCAACTCTTGAGCAGCATATTGTTGGATTGGGGCCCCGTACTTTGGTTCTGGGCAGTGACCTTAATTGCCTTTGCATGATATACTGTAAGCAGCTGCAGATGGTGTAAGAGAAACAGACTGGTGGCACACATAACTGACCAAAAATTATTATAGGTTCCAAAAAAAAGGAACTAGACATTTCTTTTCCACAGTTGATACGGTGGTTTGTTCAAAATGCAGCAGGGAAATATTGGGGACAAGTGGCTTAAATGGATGAAAGTTATTCTTCTTCTTGAACTTGATATAGTGGAACTACACAGCATGTGTTAATATATTAATGACTGGGCTGATGGCCCAAAACCAAACTGCATATTTATCTCTAGTTTCACAACAGATACACATGATTGACATCAAGTCTGAAATGTTGAAGTAACAGTGGAATTGTTTAAGACAGTGCACAAGCTGGGAGGATAGCCACACAGGAGTTCTGGGAAACATTGTTAGTCGAAGGCCCAGTAGATGAAGGTGATATATAAATCTATGAGTTGTCTTGCAGCTGCAAATAGGAATTTTCCCAATTGTTCCAGGAACAGCATCCAGCTGCATATAAAATCCACCATTCTCTAACTTCATAATATTTGGTTTTCACTAAAGATATAAACAAAACTGTTGGTAAATTGCTACACTCTTCTGCTTGTTGGTTAATAGCACCATCACCAGCATGGAGTTTTCACTTTTAATTTTTAAATTAATTTGTGTCGACCGTATGAATTTCACTGGCAACTTCAGGGAATTTGAGACCGATGAGGACTGAAAACAATGCATCTCCCCACAAGCCATTATCCCCTAGTTACTATTTACATTATTTATATGTTTACACCTACACCACCCAAAAAAATTACCAGGATAAACGTTGGGTGTTGAGGTTGTTGAGGATCTGTTCCTTCCAGACACATTATTTGAGGACTTTTGTTCTTTCTTCGGTCATTATCAATAGTGTGGTCCCAAGTTCCTCCTGAGGATCAGTGTATTGAGGTCATCTGGTTGTTGGCATCTTTAACATCAACACCAATGTACCTGTGTTCCTTCTACCTAAAATAGCACAAAATGCTCAGAGGAAGTTAGAAGAGTGCAAATTCTGTGCAGTGCTAAAATTGGTGCAGAAATCACAAGGAAAGGGAAAATATTACAAAAAGTCAGGCTTTCCATTTTGTGCAAAAACATAAAATGTAGATTTTCTCCATTTTAAAGCATTGCAGTGATATTTAAGTGTTTAAAGATGATTTTATAGGAAAATTCAGATAGTTCTGAAACAATCAGAAGTTTGTGACTTGGAAAGAAATTAAGGAAAATTCCTGAAAAGTAATACTAGAGAAAATTTGAAAATCTTCATAAAGACACTTCAGGATATAGCTTCATTAGCAAATTATCTTCGTTGTCCAGTAATTAAAAGAAGTTGCAATATGTGGTTAAATTTATGATTCACCAAAGATGACTGAAATATCTAACGCAATTAACCTGATTACAAAAAATATCGAAATCCTAATCAGTGAAATCTGTTACGTGTACAAAGAATTAAGAACATTTCCTGCAACAACTTTTACATATTTCATTAAATAGCAGAAACAACAGCACTTAAATAAAGCAGCAATGGAGAAACGTATTACAAAGCACATTTAAAATCCCATCCTTCAAACATGATATTGAATTGGACGTATAGAAGAGATAATATAAAATTGCTTCAGAAGAACAAGTGAGCACATTTCTCCATTCTGTAAGCATGATTGCAACTGGCGTTTTAAAACAAGACAAACTATAAGAAGAGGCAGTTACCTGTGTGTATTTGGACCACTGTGCACCTTCGTGTGAGAGCATTCGACAATTACTTTACATCAAGTAGCAATTAGAAAACAAAAGGGATCAAGATTTAACGAAAGATTACAGCTTCCAAGAGAATCTTTAGGCAGCTTTGTTAATGATCTTTACACATTCTTCAAAACAAAATTGTCAGAAATTCTGATACCCCTGTCTCTCAGAAATGTTACAATTAAGGGCGAATACTACATTGGAAAGAATTAGAATTAGGTTTATTGTCACATGTACTCGAGTGAGTACAGTGAAAAGTGTGTAAGTTGCCACTTACGGTGCTATCTTAGGTACAAAGGTCCTTGGGTACAGCTTCTTCAGTTGCAGTTCTTAGATAAACAGAGAAGTAAAAAATAGCCTGGGATTGCAAATTTTAGGAACAAATTATAAAATGCAGAAAAGACAATGTTCAGTATAACAGGCATCCAACAGTCCATACTGGCAGCTAGCTTCCCAACCGGGCTGGGCCTTGACTCTCGACCATGCTAAGCTTCACCTCCGGTTTCACGAGGTCGGGAGATTGCTCTAGAAGTCCACACTGAGGCCATTCCAGGCCTAAAGGACTCCACACTGGCCTGAGAGACTGCCACGCTGGGCCAGCAGGCCTCCACGCCCAGGCCACTACAACAGGCCAAGAGGATGCCTCTTCAAGGTCCGAGCACAGGCCACAAAGTCAGAGGGCAGGAGTTCGAGGCCGAGAACAAAAGAAAAGGAACAGATGGAGTGGGTGAGCTCCAGCTGAAGCATCCTACTCTGCTGCCGTCTTGGATCTAGGAAAGAGTTATCCAAATGATAACTCTTCATGATAAATGATGAGAAGTGAAATCTGAAAACAGCACAGAGGAAGTTAGGATCAGAAACCTAGACTAGCAGTCACAATATTGTTGACATACAACTTATAATTGGCTGAACAGCCTGCTGTCCTTAACTTGTCTTGTGACCGGGCCTGTACCAGTCTTAGTCTGAAACTGTTCTGAGGAGTTTCCACGTGTGTGGAACAACTGGGGAAAATTGCCCACAGTCACATACTTTGATTGTAGCATGGTATGATCAACATCTGGCACAACGTTGCATAAAACATCCCAGTCTTTCTACAATCACGTTATAAATGTACATGAAAAGGAAATTGAGGATTCAGTTTTAATTTCTGGGTTGTGCTTTCTTGCAAAATTTTGTCCTCTGCAAATTTCTTCGTTCCTTCTCATTGTCTGCACTTTAAGTCAAATGACCAGTAGGCAACTTTAATCTTACTTTTGGCTCTACCTTCACCTCCAGGGGTTTAACCCCTACCCTGTGTTCATTGCACTGGCTTGAACAGTTTCTGTTTATCATATCAGACCACGCTATGCAGTGTTATTCCTGATCTGTCCTGACTGACAGAGTAATTGCCAACCCAACTGAAGTATTTATCCTAACTGTTCCTCCTGGAATCTTTTTCAGTCTCTCTGTCTGTCTGTCTCTTGCTCTCTCTCCATGTCTCAAGTTTGTTTTTTCTCAATTTTCTCCACTGTTGTTTTTGGGGAACTAGCCCAGATTAGAATGCAGTTGGAAGAGTTGCAAGCACACGTATGGTTATTCTCCTGCGTGGGGCTTTTTGTTACATCTCTTAAGGTCTGGATCATTTGTGATCCCACCTGAATTATGTCAGAAGTTTCTGACAGAGATCACACTGAGTAGCAGTCACGCTGATGCTGTACTCTCATCAACGCCCTTGTTAAAGTCAACAGAGTGCAAACCAAACACAGTGGCTCTGACAGAATAGAGATTGTGCTACTGGGCTACTAATCCGCAGGCCTGGACTAATAATCCAGTGGAACGTGAGCTCCAGTATCAGCAAAGAAGTTTGGTGTTTAAATTCAAATTTAAAGCAAATTGGAGACTAAAAAGCTGAGACCAGGAAAAGTGACCATGAAGCCACTTGACTGCAATAAGAAGTCAACTGTTTATTTAATATCTTGGAGGGAAAGAGACCTGCCAACATTGCTCATTCTGATTGATCTGTGACAGCCCCACAGTGGCACTGTTTGTTGTTAATTGTCCTGCCCTTCAAGTCACTTGGATATAACAAAGGAAAGAAGGCCAACTGCCAAATTTCTCAAGGAACGGATAATAAATGGCATCCTTGCCAGCAGCCCCTAAACCCAGAGAATTCATATATAAATACAAAACACATTGAAAAATGCATTGTAATTTTATAATAAATTACTAAAAGTATTTTATTTATTGTTAAGTGTGGTGTATTGAAGGGTATTTTTCCAGCTATTACTGGATAATACTTCAGGCTGTAGTATGTGTTAATTAATCCTTGACCCTGCTCTTGTTTTACAGACATTGCTGTGGTGGACATGAGTGATGTGTTCCGGCAGCCAACTCTGTTTTACCATCTAGGTATACGAGAAAGCTTTGGCATGACAAACAGTGTCATTCTCTACCACAACACTGACCTGGAGACTGCTCAATCACTCAAGGTTACTCACAATCATGTTTTTTTTTCATACTTTCTGACTTATTTATTTCTGATCTATTTTCATTGTCGGGTACGTTTGGCTTTTGTATGTATTGATCAGCCATCTCAAATTAAAGCCCTGTTACTTTCTTTTTCCTTTGAAGTTCATCTTCAAAATGAATTTTATCTTTCAATAACCAGGAATCAGGCTTCTGTAAAGACCCTGGTTCTATAATTTTGACCAATGTGTAAGATTTTGGAGCTAACGGTACTGTCCGTGATTGTAACCACTTGTAAATAATGTGGAATGATATAATTATCTAATACTGATAGCTGAACTGCTCAGCTTGGTTTATAATTAATCTGCCAAGTGGGCCCTTGTCAGAAACTTGCTGATGTCTGTGTAGACTACATTAGCTACACTACCTTCATCAATTCTCCTTGTTATTTACTCAAAAAATTCAAATTAGTCAGACATAATCTTCCCATGCTGACTATCCTTGATTACCCCTTTCTTTCTCAGTGACGGTTTATCCTGTCTTTCAGAATTCATTCCGATAGTCTGTCCATTACTGAGGTTTGACAAACTAGGCTGTAATCATTTGTTCTGTCTCTCCTTCTCCTTTTACAAAAGGAGCAGTATTAACAATCTGCCAATCCTCCAGCAATACACTTGCATCCAGTGAAGATAGGAAAATAATGGTCATTATTTCCTTCCTTTTTTTTTCATTTTTGGCTTATTTTTAACAGCATGAAATGCATTTTATGTGGTCTTATTGGTCTATCCTCTTTCAAGTATGCTAATCCCATTCATATTTCCTCTCTCCCCATGCATATCACATCTAATGTACCAAACTTCTCTTTAACTACCATATCCGCATTATCCCTCTCGTTTTGTGAAGAATAGGGTTGAATCTTAAATTCAAATGTGTATGATTCTTCAATATATACATATCAGTGTATAATAACTTGTTTCCAGACTTACAAGTGTACTAAATTGATCAGCAAGACAAGCCTGCCCTAAACAATGATGATCAGTTTCAACAGGTAAACACTTTCCCTTGGCTCTGTCTACTTTGCTACACCCATTCGCAGTCATGTGATCACCTAGGAGAACCATAATAAACAAACAGCCTGAAAGGTAAATATACTCTTCAAAGATCTTCCCTGATTCCCTCAGATCACCAATATCCATCTGGACAATCACGCGGACCATGGAATTTGTTAAGACTTCTTTAATTCTGGGCCAGGATACAACTGGGACAGGAACAGGTGTTGTCTTTGAAAAGAAAGAGTAGTTAGACAGAGCCAGGATTCACCGTTAAAATCTAAGGTTTGATTATCTACTTACACACACTTCCACTTCTTCACAAGATTGTAACATGTACTTGATCAAAAGTTGGTTAAAAATCCAAATCAGTACTTTTTGTATTTGGGTTACAATTACCATCAGTGCTATGCTTTCAAGAAGATAATAAATCAAAGTGCAAATCATGATCTCCAAACATAGACAACGATATAGAATTGCAAAGAATCCAACAATGAATTAATTTTTTTTGTCACCTCAAAGAAAAATGTCTGATTGGAGATGCACGTTCGATTAGTTTTTGAATTTTCTGCTATCCTTTTGAGTTGCCATACGTCTCTGGGTCCTAGCAGGGGTGTTATGCACCTTGTCCAATTATCAAAAGTAAGAACATTTGGGAAATGGTTACATCTGGTAGCGAATCCATAACTACATTTTGTACTCCCTTTGAAATCGAATTTCACAGTCTCCATGTCTTTTACCTTTAACAGCAAAATTACTTTAATACTATTGTTACGTGATGTCTCTTCACTGTATTGATAGCTTACCTGACAATTTTAACCGGATTGCTAAAATTGCTCAACTGGTTCACAACCTTCTTTTGGGGCAATAAACCCACCATTTGTAAAAGTGCCTGTTTTCAGTGTGCCTCCATTCCCACCTGTGTCTCTAAAATATCTTCTGAAATGGCCAAGAAAGCCTCTCAGTTGCTTTCTGACAGCTGCAATGACATTTTTTTATGTTGCATCAAATGTCCTTTCCCTTGTTTGCACCTGAGAGGATGTTAAAGATTGACTGCTTGAGGTATGTGCTGGAAGAATTGCTATCTGTCTTCATGTGACACGCCATTACTTATCATGACACTGGAATGGTAAGGGAGAGGAGAGAAGATAAGTGCTGGCAAGGAATGTATGATCATCAGCTTCTGGCACTTAGCGTGAGAGAGAGAGAGATACACACACCAGTAAATATAAAGTTGTTTTACAGTTTCCAAAACACAAACGCAGTGACCACACAAAGATAACGTGTAGATGGTGGGAAATAGTAACCAGTATAAAGAATGTGCTTGAAAAGATAGTTTGCAGTCAAATCTGATCTTGTCTAAATAGTGATAATCAGGATGTAAGATAGTTGTACGTAAATCTGTCGAGGATCTTAGTCAGGTGTTAACCATGACTCAGTAGCCCATAAGACATAGTTGCAGAAATTAGGCCATTCAGCCCATTGAATCTGCCCTGCTATTCAATCATGGCTGATAAGTTTGTCAGCTCCATTCCCCTGCTTTCTCCCTGTAACTTTTAATCCCTTTGACAAGCAAGAACCTATCTATCTCTTTGTTGAATGTACTCAATGACCTGGCCTCCACAGCCTTCTGTGGCAATGAATACCATAGATTCACCACACACTCGCTGAAGAAGTTTCTCCTCATCTCCGTTGTACATGGTCTTCCCTTTACTCTAAGGCTATGCCCTCAGGTCCTAGTCTGTTCTGCCAATGGAAGCATCTTCCCAACATCCACTCTGTCCAGGCTGTTCAGTATTCTGTAGGTTTCAATTAGATCCCCCCTCATCCTTCTAAACTCCATCGAGTATAGACCCAGGGTCCTCAAACGTTTCTCATATGTTAAGCCTTTCATTCCTAGGATCATTCTCATGAACCTCCTTTGGATCCACACCGGGGCCAGTACATCCTTCCTAAGGTATGGTGCCCAAAATTACTCTCAGTACGCTAAGTGTGGTCTGACCAGAGCTTTATATGGCCTCAGAAGTAAATCCCTGCTTTTATACTCTAGTCCTCTCATGATAAATGCCAACATTGTATTTGCCTTCCTAACTACTGACTCAACCTGCAAGTTTGCCTTAAGAGAAATCTGGACTAGGACTCCCAAGTCCCTTTGCACTTCAGATTTCCAAATTTTCTCCCCATTTAGAAAAAGGTCTGTGCCTCTATTCTTCCTACCAAAGTGCATGACCTCACACTTTTCCACGTGGTATTCCATCTGCCACTTCTTTACCTACTTTACTAACCTGTCTACATCTTTCTTCAGCTTCACTGTCTCCTCAATACTTAGCTAGAATGCCTCACTACCTTCATCTAGATCATTAATGTACAAAGTGAAAAGTTGTGGTCCCAAGACTGACCCTTGTGGAACGCCACTAGTCACCAGCTGCCATCCTGAAAAGGACCCTTTTATCCCCACTCTCTGCTTTCTGCCAGTGAGCCAATTGTCTATCCATACTATTACCTTGCCTGTAACACCATGGGCCCTTATCTTACTCAGCAGCCTCCTGTGCAGTACCTTATTAAAGGCATTCTTGAAGTCCAGGTCGATAACATCCATTGGATCTCCTTGGTCTAATCTGCTCATTACCTCCTCAAAGAATTCTACCAGATTTGTCAGGCATGACCTCCCCTTAATGAAACCATGCTGACTTTGCCCTGTTTTACCATACACTTCCAAGTATTCAGAAATCTCATCCTTCACAATGGACTCTAACATCTTACGTATGACTGAGATTAGGCTAATCAGCCTGTAATTTCCTGACTTTTGCCTTACTCCTTTCTTAAATGGTGGGGGTTGGGGGTGTTACATTAGTGATTTTCCAGTCCTCTGAGACACTCTCTGACTTCAGTGATTCCTGAAAGATCACTACTAACGCCTCCAGTATCTATTCAGCTATCTCCTTCAGGACTCAGGTGTGTAGCCCATCTGGTCCAGGTGATTTATCCATCTTCAGACCTTTCAGTTTTTCCAGCACCTTCTCCTTGGTGATGGCCACCATATTTACCTCTGTCCCCTGATTCATTTGAATTTTGGGGATATTGCTCATGTCTTCCACTGTGAAGACTGGCGCAAAGTACTTATTCAGTTACTCCACCATTTTTTTTTTGTCCCCCATTGCTACTTCTCCAGTGTCATTTTCCAGCAGCCCAATGTCCAACTTTTGCCTCTCTCTTGCCCTTTATATATCGAAAGAAACTTTTGCAATTTTTTTCTATTATTGGCTAGCTTACCCTCATTTAATCTTCTCCATCCTTCTTACTTTTTTGTTGTCCTCTGTTCATCTTCTCAATCCTCTGGCTTCCACTGCCTTTGCCACATTAAATGCTTTCTCTTTCGCTTTAATGCTGTCCCTGATTTCCTTTGTCAGCCACAGTATGTCTCAACTGTGGCTCAATTGGTAGAATATAAGGCTCTGAGTGAGAAAACTGCAGTTTAGGACCAACTTTAGGTTTTGAGCATGAGAAACTGACTCTTTAATGTAGGTTGGAGAGAATGCTGCAGAGTTGGAACTGCCTTCTTTCAGAGGAAACATTAATCAGAGGTTTTGTCTGCGTGTAAAGGTGGCTATAAAAGATACCACAAAACTATCCCGAAGATGAGCAAGGGAGTTCTCTGTAGTGACAAGAACAAAGTTGCTGGAAAAGCTCAGCAGGTCTGGC